AGTCTGATTGCCATTTTAAACTCATATCAACTATTGTTTAGTGCATTACCTGACATATAATCATTTCTTTGTCGATTTTCATTCTCTCCCACTAGAACATAAATCCTATGAGAACTTTGCATTCTTGTCCACTATTCTACAACCAGAGACAAAAGCAGTACCTGATATAAAGTATACTATGTACACACATATATGTTTATATCTATATGTTGAATAATTAATCAAGTGATAAAAGAAAAAAGAAGCTCCAATAAAAAGTAAGCACCAGAGATACAGAAGGATATCCAAAACTCCAGAAAGAAGGTTCAGAGACTGAATATGGTAATAAATGCAATACCCATAATGTTTGATAATTCGTAAGTCATTAATAATATTGGAGAAAACATGTTTGGTAGTGAGAGAAGCAGTTAAATTGCTAAAAATAATAATAATAATTAGTGAGTGGTACAGAAGTAATTTTTAAAAAATAAACTGAGTGCCTAAGAAAATCAGTTAGAGACGAATAAATGTAAAAGTTAAAGTTAACATGTTTTTATATGTAACAAACTTCAAATCACTTACCAATTTCTTGCTGTGATGAGAGAGGATTTAAATTTCCTGCAGCGTTATGTTCATTAAACTGGAAAATAATTTTCATTAAATATTACTCATGAAATCAGTAGAACAGTATATACAGCATTTGTATTTGAATCTAAAGCCTGGTTTTTCTAATAAGCATAATTAGAGCAGACAAAATAGCAACATTCTATATAGCACACTATTGTACTAAAAAGAGATCTATCTTCAAAACCTATCGTTTACTTATATTAAAATAGGCTTACTGATTTGATTCTAACAGATAAATTAAGAGGCAACATATATTGTACTAAGGATAGTTGATAGTTCCTACTTTGGAATAGTAATATAACCTAAAATTCTAATTAACTTTTGCTTTATTCTGAAGGTTTCATAATTCAGGTTCTTGGTATTGTTTTCCTGCCTATAAAAGTAATTGGAAGTATGATAGCTTCATGTCACTTCAGATTAAGCTTTGCTGCCAAAGAGTCTATTTTCTCTGTAAGATAGGCTTTTAAAAAAATGGGATCATGAGACATAGTTTTCTGTTCTCTTTTGTTTCTCATACTGTTACATTATGAGCATTTTTCCATGTCACTATTCTCCCAAAACCTGATTCTTTTTATGGCATTTTAATATTCCTCTATATTGACATACCATACATTTTCAATCATTTATTTATTTTGAATATTTAGGTAGTTTCTATTCCTTTTTCTAATATAAAGTGCATATGAATACTGTTATGCACAGATTTCATTTCTTTGACAATAAGGAAAGGTGTTTTTCCCACAGATTTTATAAATCACTTGACTTTCTTTCTCAGTGAGTTATCTATTCACCACATGAACTTTGTCCACATATCTATTGAGGCAATAATTTTTTTCATTGGTATATATAGGGCTCTTTACATATTAAACATATACATTCTTTGTCATATTATTACAAATATTTTATATCACATTTTTCCTTTGCTTTTAAATTTTTTAACATATAAAAATTTGTATGTAACCAAACCCAAACTTTATTTTCTTTTGGCTCTTCTTTCATTGTTTTTATGCTTAGAGAATCATTCCTCCTCTTAAGATCTGGCAAATAGTCACCTATATTTCCTTTGAAATATTTATGGTTAACATTTTTAATTTAATGCATTCGTAACTTTTATTAGTGTACATGCAAGATGAGTGCCCAATTTATCCCTACTGATTTGTGGGCTCATCTTTATCACATTCTAATTTCTTTTGTGTCAAGACTTTCTAGACCAAGCCATCAATCTATCATTCTTTGTACCATTATTTCACTGTTTCGATTGCTCTAGTTTTATAGAATGTTTTATTATTTAGAAAGTGAGGTTCCCCCCACCAATACTCTATTTCACTCATTTTATTCTCTTATTAATGTCCATAAGATCTATAATGATACTCTCTCTTTTATTCCTAACACAGGTGAATTGTCTTCTGTTAGTCTAGTAAGGAGTTCACAAATTTTGTTAATATTTTTCAAAGAACTAACTTCAGCTTTATTTTCTGTTTTCTATTTCATTGATTTCTCTTATCATTCTTATTTTTTCATTCTATTTACTTTGGGTTTACTTTGTTCTTTTTCTAGCTTTTCAAGGTGGAACTTTTAGGTCACTAATTTTAGACTTTCTTCTTTTCTATTAACTTTAAATAATTAATAATTTAAATAAATTATCATTTTTGCTCTGGTTTTGACAGCATCCACAATTTTTGACATGCTGAATGTTCATAATGATTCATTTCAAATTTTTTCTAACTTCTCTCATGATTTGTTCTTTGATCCATAACCTTAATATTTAGGATTCTCCCAATATCTTGCTCTTCGTTTCTAATTTAATTCTATTGTGGTCTGAAAATATACTCTTTGTGATTTCAGTTTTTTAAAATGTATTAAGACTCATTTTATGACTCAGAATATGACCTCTCTTGGTGAATGTACCATCAGCACTTGAAAAGAATATATATGCTGCAGTTACTGAACATGGTATTCTATAAATGTAAGTTAGGTCAAGAAGTCAATAATGTTGTTCAGATTTTATAAAAGATATTTAATGACTGTGTTGTCTAATTCTATCAATAGCTGAGAAAGGGATGTTAAAAATCTCCAACTAAGTGTACTTTTGTCTATTTCTCCCTTTAATTCTGTCAGTTTTTGTTTCTGTATTTTGAAGTT